GTCCTTTTAACTAGTGACTAGGTAAAGAAGTGAACATTTTGTATAAAGAAAAAATCGTCTCTTTCTTCTGGTGACCACACTCAGGGTACAAGACTACTTGCCTCCAAATACAGCAAAGAAACTGCACAACTATTCTGGATTCTGGGGCCAAGGTGAAGATTAAACAAGACCTCACATTAAAACATGGAGCTCTTCCTGAAACACAGAAGCTGTCACTAATGTCGGTTTCTTTCCATAAAGTTCTCCTCCCTTTCATCCCTCTCCCACCTTCTCCATGGCATTATCAAGTAGGATTCTTTTGTGCATGGAGACAGTGGGGTCAGTCCTTGCCACTGCACTCTCCTTGCTTTGAACCTGGATTGGATAATTGAGAGTCTTATAGCCCATCGTCCACAGTCTCAGGTTGGGATCCTTATTCCCACCGCATGGAATTACTCCTGAAATAAATTTTCCTTTCAGCATCCTGCATGGATGCCAAGGAAGACTGAGTGCAGGGAACTTGAAATACACCTGTCTTCCTTCATGTGCCAATCAACTTGATCAGTCTCAGCTGAAAACAAAACAAATGAGTTAAACCTGTTTTTTCTTGTCTTTTAAATTATGTCAGTACCTGGTAATTGTTTATGTTGAAAGAGTCAACAGAAGGCAGGCAAAGGGCCAGGGAACATGATAAGTATTTAAAGGATGTGATTTACTATTCAGCAATGTGCCAGTGATGTGGCATGAATTAAAAACAAGAAGTCTTCCAGAAGAAAAGATTTCTTTAGAGATATAATTAATTGACCTGGCTTGGGTCTCTCCTTTCCCAGAGAAGTAGTTGTCAGTGAAGTGCTTCCAGTACTGCCCTGATTATAATTAGCATTCAAGTTCATGCTGCAAAGTCATCTTTATTTAAGAATTCTAGCATTCACCCACCCAAAAATTCATAGGCAAGGTTTTGCATTGCCACACACCTTGGGATTTTGTCTCAGAATTAGGAAGCAAATGCAGCCAGTAATTATTTTAGATATTTGTTTTTAGAAATGAATTTTTCCATATCTGTCAAATTTGGCTTGGGGTTCTTTTGCAATTTAATCTTCGTTAGCAGCATGAAAAAACTGTTAAGTTAAACGTTCAGACATAAGCAAGTCATTATTCTATATCTGAACTCTAGAGAGCCACTGGTTGTCATGGCAATGTGACAGCACATGTGAAGTTAGCACTGGGGACATCACATTTCTATTAAAATACCGCACACATTTGCATGAACTTCTGCCCAGACCATTGTTGCTGTGTTTGTTCCCCTCACCATCCCATAACAGTGCCAAGGGTTTTCATATTTCAGAGCTGAGTTTGTTAGAGTTCACTGCATTTAGTATTGATCTGTCTCAATATGAAAGTTGATCTGTATTCAAAGCTCAACATATATGTACATCTGTACAGTCAATCCTGCCAATTACTCTTCCCCTGAACTGAGGTAACCCTTGCATTTCTTTTAGTAAATGGTTTTAATTATTTGCCTTTATCTTACCTCCACTTACTATTTCCCCCTAATTTGAAATGTCACTATTACTCTGGAAGGTACAGGTATTTTCAGTACCCACCCCACCTCGCATCTTCATGAGGTCTCTATTTATGAATGCTTTGTCTAAGGGCTGTGATTAAACTTATTTTATCCATATGATCATGTGTATATTCAGTTGATAAAGTTGATTGTATACTACATGGTAGGATATATGCTGGGTCTTGGCTATTTAAGGACAACCATTAGATGAATGTAAATTCCTGCTACCCTGCTACCACCCTGTTCTTAATTTGTTTTCTATTTCCAGGACAGCAGCTAACTTCACAAAGATTTGAAATGAAGAATTGTTGGGTCTTGTAAATATCATGAGTATACTTTTGTTCTCCCATCATTGCTTAAACATTCTTTTGTTGAACTAAACACTTAACCAACAACTATTAAGTATCATATCTTTTAATATGATAAATATCAATTATCTTTCTCTCTGCTTATACATACACATACACATATGTGGTAAGAAACAAGACTCCTGAATGATCAGCAATTTAAGAGTTGCATTTAGAGACTCTTATATGTTCCTTATTATTGTCATGTCTTCCCTTCCCAAATTTCCACTGAAATCCTAGAGGATACCTCATTAAAAAAAAAAAAAAAAAGAAAGAAAGAAAAAGATTACTTCTTCTTTGAAGCATTGTTGTATAACACTGAAAATAAAAGGATAAGAAATAACAATAAAAGTATTGTTTATGCAACTCTGGAGGCAAATTCTAACAGAAATGGCAAAGAAAAAACAAATACCTCTAGGGGAAGATCCTTAGTATAAGGAGGAGTTGGACTGGAGATCATTATTTTCCACTATAGACCGTGTAGCACTATAAGGCTGTTAAAATAATGTGGGAGATATTTTCATTTAGGGCTGGGATTTTGGCTTAGTGGTAGAGTGTTCACCTAGCACGCATGAGGCACTGGGTTTGATCTTCAGTACCACATAAAATTAAAATAAAGATATTGTGTCCACCTAAAATTAAAAAAAATAAATATTGAAAAATGATAAATTTTAAAAAGTTATATGCTTGCATAGAAATCATGTAAGCTGTTCTGAAGTGTTTCTCATCATATTAGTTTCTTCTTATTTGGATTGTTTTTCCACTAAATTAAAATATATAACAGAACCCAGATGAATAATAATCAAACATAGGGTTTGATTTCAGTATTCTGAACAATCTCTTGATAAATTATTTCATATATATATATATATATATATATATATATATATATATATATATGCATTTGGTTGATTGATTGATTGTAGTTCTAGGGATTGAACCCAGGAATGTTCTGTCTCTGAACTACATCTTTGGCCCTTTTATGAGACAGGGTTTCATCTAGTTGTCCAGGCTGGGCTGCTTCATCCTCCTCAGTAGCTGGGATTACAGGTGGGCACCACCACTCTAACTGCCATTGTCTATCCATTTTCAATTGCAACATTTTAAAAGGCTTCAGATTTGTTTTTTTTTTTTAAATCCTGTGAAATCCTTTCTATCCAGTGGTATCTAAATGTCAACATCTACCATATACTTTTGGAATCATTAAGAAAACAAAAGAAATGGCTTAGGGGTGTAGCTTAGTGGTAAAGCACTTGCCTAGCATTTGGGAGGCTTTGGGTTCAACCCCCAGCACTGCAATAAATAAATAAATAGAATTATTTGATAGGGTTATAGATTTGTAAAGATATTTAATCTATTCTAAAGATAGGTATGGAATTAAGTAACACCTATAACTCTCTTAAATTCCTTCCTCTAAGTTATCTGTATCTTAAAAATGTGTACTTTTTTTTTTTTAATTTGGACAAGCTGATTTTAAATGAACTTTCTAAAACAAACAAAACTAAGACTATCCAGGAATCTTCAGGGAAAGGAGGGTACTGAGAAGGAATAGAGCCATTAAATCTTAGATCTTATCCTACAGCTGGAAGAATGTTAAAAATGTTCTTGGTTTATCAATGAATGACAGACAAACAGCACTGGCATAGAAGAGAAAATTTACACATACATATGACAAGGTAGTTTATGATAAACATAAAGTTCCAAATCATGGTTAATAAAACAAATCCAATAGTGTTGTGAGCACATTTGTGTAAACTTTGTTAAAATAAATAAAAACAAACAATTTAAAAGACTGAATCTATATACTTCAGGACATATAAAAATAAGTTGTTATTACTCCTTGCTGCTGTTTATTCTCAAATATCTCAATGAAGGTTGTTCTTTTATTTATTTATTTTTAAAGGACAATTGACAACTAAAAATGAGAGACAATTTTTGTTGAAAAAAAGAAAAAAAAGAGGTTCTTTTCACCTCCTTTTTCTCAGAGCATTTATTATAGAATGCTTCATACCCCATTTGAATTAAATGTCAAGATCATTGTAATGTTTTGAGCAACTAATAAAAAAAAAAGAAAGAAAGCTTGTACTTTCTCTTCTCTTTTAAAAAACACATGCAAGCTTGGTGCAGTGGTGCATTCTTGTAATTCCAGTGACTGGCTGAGGCACAGGATCACAAATTTGAGACTAGCCTGGGCAATTTAGCCAGACACAGTCTCAAAACAAAAGGTAAAAAGGGGTAGGTAGCTCACTGGTAACAGCACCTCTGGGTTCAATCCCCAGTATGGGGGGCGGGGTGTGCATTCTTTTGAAATCTACATAGGTCTTTTGTTAGCTTGTCTTTTCCAAGAACCTTTGAAGTGTAAACACTAAGAAAAAAAGCTCCTAGGTCCCCTTTCTGTGAGTGGGTAGGAGCTTCACCCAGGTACTTGCTCCAAGTTGCAAAACTACTTTTTGTCATAAAAATATAAGCAGTTTGTTTCTTCTCTGAATAAAGCCAATTATCTAACATGAATGCACACTCCAACAATTACCAGTTGAATTTAGGATGGAGCTGTCAAGTCCTTTTACTCAAGGACAAGTGCTTTTTTATTTCGAAAACCTGTTTATCCTAAGTTTGATCTGACTGATTATATAAAAATATGGTTTCTTTTCTTTGTAATTTTTTGGTGGATTGTTTATGCTTCCTACAACTTTCTGGATAAATTAATATTTGAAAATAAAGCTTTGTTTTCTTTTCTTCTCTCTTTTTTTATGGGGAGGGGGAGTCCAGATTGAGAGATGGCTTTGCTTTTAATTATATTTACCCAATATTGCTAATATTAATCATGCAGAAAGTAGCCCTGTTTTTATATTGGTTCTTTTGCTTGGGATGGAATTCTGACTGAGTCCTCATGTGTGCGATCCACTGGGAGGATGGAAGTGGGGCAGGCTGATTTGCTTTGGGGTCAATAGGTAGGGAACATCTCTCAGCTGGAATTAACACTAAGCAGGTTGATTCTAGAATTTCTTGAAGGCATTTTAAATTGAATTAAAATGGTGTCACTAATGGTGATTTTGGGGTATGGTCTCATGCCTTGGATTGGTAGTGAAATCTGTAAGAAAAATACTTACAGGTTGAGAATTCCACCTCCCCAGAGATCTGGATTCAGCAGTGAGCACTTGAGACAGTTTGTCCTACCAGTTCACTTCCTCTCCTCTCAGCAGAATTCAGACTGTGTGGTCAAAGATTGGATTCCTCTAACCTTATGCCTAGCAATTCTGATGAAATGTCTGGATTCTGCAGACTTTGATCCAAAGACTGAACTGAATGGTTTGAACCCAAGGGAACAACCTGTGAGTCGTTATTAAATACCAATCTGAATCCAGACCTGAGATTGGAACTGAAAGAACACAAATAACTGTAAGGGAGTCATTGTTTTTTTTTCTCTTTGATCTAGTTAGTAATTCACCTAGAGGGTGAGTGGGAGGGGGCAGATCTGAAAGAAGAAAGAATAGTTAAGAAAACTGATGTGATAGTCCTAATGTGAGATGAATTGTAAGGGAGTCAATGATAATGAACACAGAAAGAGATGGAGAGACAAAATTAAACTGAAGAATGACTCTCAAGAATGTGGTTATAGTTTCTGTAAAGAATAAATTGAAATGTGATGTTAATGATCAATGATGAGACAAGACAGTAAAGTACATAAAACTGAATGTCTGTAGTCTCAGCTACTCAGAAGTCTGAAAGCACAAGGATTCTTGTGGCCCAGTAATTTCAGCACAGGCTGGACAAAATAGTTAGAATCCATCTCTTGAGATAATCAAGAATATGAGACCCGAATTCAAGTCCCAGATCTACTGTTTCCTAGATTCAAAAGTTCCATGATTCATTTCAGTTTTAGTTTTCTTACGTGTAAAATTCAACTAATTGCACTTCAAAAATTTATTATAAGTTTGTGTTTTACAAACTCCAGGTTATGACTTGTTCATTGTGAAATTAATTCCTACAAGAATGCTTTGGAACAAAAATAATAGATTATACCACAGAGAGAAAGAAGGGTATTTTTATAATACATCATTTTAGTGATTGTGTGTATGTGCATTTGTGTAAGGAAACACTGAGGCGCAAACTAAAATGTGCTTTTTAAGGATTGTATTTAAAAAAAAGTCTTAGGATGAAAAAATGTATAATACCTGCTTAGTGTTTCACATAATACTTCACCATAGAAAGAGAACAGATTTGTCACAAAAATCTAGGGAGGAGAATTTCAAGGATGAGCTGATTAATGGTGTGAAAGATAGCAGAGACCAAAGAAGATAAAATCTGAGGGATGATTATTGATATTATGAATAATCAACCTGTGGAAAAATCAAAGGTGATCGATCTATAAAGTAGGGACTTAGTGTGCAAATATTTCTGTTAAAACATATACAGTAATATTGCTTTATAATGCCAAGTTATAGTAATGCATATTAAAAAACTAGTCATGGAAAGAAATACACAGGGTAATTTCTAAACAGAAATTACAATAAACAATGTTAAATAATTCTAGTCCTTTGAATTTGCTTTATAGAAGGTAAACTATTTATATTTAAATTTGATTGTTCTTGAAAATTTTTTTCCAATTTTAAGAAAAGCAGCTTTAGGATTTATTATATATACTACTTGAAACACATGAAATCTTTATGAATTTTTTTTTTTTTTTACTGTCATGAAAGAATCCTTTGGTGGAATTCCCAGCAGGGCCTGTGAACATAGAGATAAGATTTATGGCTTCTCCAGCTGGTGTCTACAGATTGCAAACAGTAGTGTCTTCCAGTCTGTGGTGCAAAAAGAAAAATACTCTTCTCTAGTGTAGATTGCATTCCACCCACTTTTTCATAGAACACCAGACTTTAGTGAAATTCTGAGGAGTGTTCAAATAACTGTTCACAAGTGCCTGGAGTGAAAGCTGGGAGACTGGGGCAGGTTGACAGAGAGGGAATCAAATACCTCACTACTTTTTACCCCCTTAGAGGGAAGTCCTTACTTCCTGGGCCTCACTACAAGGGTCCCAGAACACTTTCCTTGTTCTCCAAGTTCTCAGATCTCTTCTCTGTACCTTTCAATCTTTAGCTCTTTTTTACTACCACTCACCCTCATATCTCAGTCCAGGCTGTGGCTTATAAACAACAGATTATTATTTTTCCCCCTCACAGTTCTGGAGGCTAAAGTCTGAAGTCAGATTGCCAGCATGGTCATATTCTGATGTGGGCCCTCTTCTGGGTTGCAAATAGCTGACTTCTCTTTATCTCCTCACATGGTCAAAAGTGATAGCTAGCTTTTTAGTTTCTTCTGATAGGGATCCTTATCCCCTCGATGAAAGCATTAGTCTTATGATTTAAGTAACTTTCTGCATCTCTACTTTCAAATATCATCACATTGGCGTTAAGATTTCAACATATGAGGGTCTGGGGCTGTAGCTCAGTGGCAAGAGTACTTGCCTAGCATGTGGAGGCACTGGGTTCGATCCTTAGCACCACATAAAAATAAATAAAATAAAGGCATACTGTCCATCTACCACTAGAGAGAGAAAAAAAGGAAATATTTCAACATATAAATTTTGTGGAACACAAACATTACATTCTTCATATTATCACTTTCCTTTTTCCTAATTTTCTCTAAGAATCAGTCACCCTTTCCTCCATCCTATTTAGTGTTTTGCAAAATTATCATCGTTAGAGGTTAAATTCCCAAGGCTGTTTCCTTTTATATAGCTACTTTGGCCCTGCAGTAAAGTAGTCATGACTCTTTAACCATAAAGCACAACTATACATTGGAATTACCTGGGGGTTTTTCCACATTATCCATATCTAAATACCCATCTCAATTACATTAGAGTCTCTGATCATGAGTTCTAAACAACATTTGTTTGTCTGGTCACTTTATTTTAAGGTGTTTAACTGATTCCAGTGTGGAGCAATGTTAGAGTCTGTAAACAAGCCAAGATGGCGCCTGGCATTTTGCAGAGTCTTAAACAGTACTTTCTCTATCTTTTAATTTGTACATAAGTCATCTGAAGATAATATGAAAAGGCAGATTCTGATTTATCAGGTCTTCAATGAGACCTGAGATTGTTCACCTCTAACAGGCACCTGAAAGATGTGGATAGTGTTGGTCTAGGAATTGCACCTAGATACACAATCTTCCAATGGTTCCTACTGGAACAAGAGCCTCCTTCCCATAATAATGGTCCAAGCAAGAAGACACACAGAATGCCTTGCACCCAAAAAAGATGAACTTGTGCTGAAAACTCTTTTGGAATAGCACTTTTTATACAATAACTTCCATTTCATGTAGAAAGAAATGGGGCAAAATGAAGGTTATTTTATTTTCCTTCCATTCAATTTATAGATCACAACAGCAAGAGTAAAAATTTCCAGCTACTTAAGTGTAAAAATTCATGAGACTTTGCTAAGTAAATATCCCATTACTCAAAGAGACTGACCATTTAAATAGTCTGGATGGATGAGGCTTGTTTTTTTTTTTTTTCTTCTTCTTTTATTTATTTATTTATTTAGGTTCATTCAGTAATTGGATAAGATCCTAGGATACGTATTTTCTTTTTTGGAAAATTTCAAAATGTCATAAATTATATGAAAGAGCTTAAGGGTAATATGGCTTTTTTTTTTTTTTTTTTTTTTTTTTTTTTTTTAATTTTTTATTGTGGGTTGTTCAAAACATTACAAATTTCTTGACATATCATATTCCACACTTTGATTCTAGTGGGTTATGAACTCCCACCTTCACCCCATACACAGATTGCAGATTCACATCAGTTACACATCCATTGATTTACAAATTGCCATACTAGTGTCTGTTGTGCTCCGCTGCCTTTCCCATCATCCACCCTCCCCCCTCCCCACCTCTCCCCTCCCCTCCCCTCCTCTCTCTCTACCCCCTCCACTGTATAACCCTGAGGGTCTCCTTCCATTACCGTGCAATTTACCTTCTCTCTCCCTTTCCCTCCCACCTCTCATCCCTGTTAAATGTTAATCTTCTTCTCCTGTTCTTCGTCCCTACTCTGTTCTTAGTTACTTTCCTTATATCAAAGAAGACATTTGGCATTTGTTTTTTAGGGACTGGCTAGCTTCACTTAGCATAATCTGCTCTAATGCCATCCATTTCCCTGTAAATTCTATGATTTTGTCATTTTTTAATGCAGAGTAATACTCCATTGTGTATAAATGCCACATTTTTTTTATCCATTCGTCTATTGAAGGGCATCTAGGTTGGTTCCACAGTCTTGCTATTGTGAACTGTGCTGCTATGAACATCGATGCAGCAGTGTCCCTGTAGCATGCTCTTTTTAGGTCTTTAGGGAATAGACCAAGAAGGGGAATAGCTGGGTCAAATGGTGGCTCCATTCCCAGCTTTCCAAGAAATCTCCATACTGCTTTCCAAATTGGCTGCACCAATCTGCAGTCCCACCAGCAATGTACAAGTGTACCCTTTTCCCCACATCCTCGCCAGCACTTGTTGTTGTTTGACTTCCTAATGGCTGCCAATCTTACTGGAGTGAGATGGTATCTTAGGGTGGTTTTGATTTGCATTTCTCTGACAGCTAGAGATGTTGAGCATTTTTTCATGTACTTGTTGATTGACTGTATGTCCTCCTCTGTGAAGTGTCTGTTCAGGTCCTTGGCCCATTTGTTGATTGGGTTGTTTGTTCTCTTATTGTCTAATTTTTTGAGTTCTTTGTATACTCTGGATATTAGGGCACTATCTGAAGTGTGAGGAGTAAAGATTTGTTCCCAGGATGTAGGCTCCCTATTTACCTCTCTTATTGTTTCTTTTGCTGAGAAAAAACTTCTTAGTTTGAGTAAGTCCCATTTGTTGATTCTAGTTATTAACTTTTGTGCTATGGGTGTCCTATTGAGGAATTTGGAGCCCGACCCCACTGACTGTAGATCGTAGCCAACTTTTTCTTCTATCAGACGGCGCGTCTCTGATTTGATATCAAGTTCCTTGATCCATTTTGAATTCACTTTTGTGCATGGCGAGAGAAAGGGATTCAGTTTCATTTTGTTGCATATGGATTTCCAGTTTTCCCAGCACCATTTGTTGAAGATGCTATCCTTCCTCCATTGCATGCTTTTAGCCCCTTTATCAAATATAAGATAGTTGTAGTTTTGTGTATTGGTTTCTGTGTCCTCTATTCTGTACCATTGGTCCACACGCCTGTTTTGGTACCAGTACCATGCTGTTTTTGTTACTATTGCTCTGTAGTATAGTTTGAAGTCTGGTATCGCTATACCGCCTGATTCACACTTCTTGCTTAGCATTGTTTTTGCTATT